TGCCCCTCTTTGACTGGAAACACGAAGAGTTTTCAGACAAAGAAGTAGACAAAGCGATAAGTTTTGACCGGACTCTTATTTGAAAGAAAAATATGCGATTGAGTCCTTGTTTTGGACAGCCTACATATCCCGGGTTGTAAGTAAATCAGGTCATGTGTAGTTCAAGGAGATGAGGTGATGAGTTGGAAGTTAAAGTGAGGTTCCATCGAGGCTCCAAGTCGCAGCTCTTATCCTTACATAAAAAAAATGAAACCTAATAGTCAAAAGGAAAATAAAAGTACAAGCTCCTATCTATGCAACTTCTCTTGAGTCTTGACTTTCAGCTATCACTTTGATTTTTTGGGTGAGTATCTTGATCTTGAACTGAATTCGATGCTTAAGTTGCCACTTAGAGTGGGTTTTTGGCACTCTTCGAAATGACAATTTGAATATGTTCTTGAATGACTGCATGTTTTTTTTATCAGAAGTTGAATAGAAATAAATGTCAGGAAGTCAGGCTGCTACATGCATTGAAGAAGCTTATTCTGGCTATCATGGGATTGATTATTCTGAAAAGAGTTGAAACTTTGTTCTTGAATTTCAAATCCATGTTTCGCTTGAAGAAACCTGAAAACAATCACAAACAAAAGAAATAAACAAAAAATTTACCCCAATTTTCACTGGAAATTTTTTGGGAGTTATTAGCAAATGTGAATTTTCAAAAAAATAAAATCAGACTAGGAAGTGTTTATCCTAGGAGAAAATAAAAAATAAAAGTCTCAGACTAGGAAGTGTTTATCCTAGGAGAAAAATAAAAAATAAAGGTCTCAAACTAGGAAGTGTTTATCCTAGGAGAAAATGAAAAATAATAGTCTCAGATTAGGAAGTGTTTATCCCAGGAGAAAATAAAAATAACGTCTCAGACTAGGAAATGTTTGTCCTATGAGAAAATAAAAAAAATGACGGTCTCAGACTAGGAAGTGTTTATCCTAGGAGAAAAAAATAATAAAAAATAACTGTCTCAGACTAGAAAGTGATTATCCTAGGAGAAAATAACTAAATCTCATTAGGTAGGGGGGTGTCCTGATAATCTCATTGTCCAGGAGGGTCCTGCTAATCCCATTATGTAGGAGAGTCATGCTAATCTAAATCTCATTATGTAGGAGGATCCTGTTAATCCCATTATGCAGGAGGGTCCTACTAAACTAAATCTCATTATGTAGGGGGGTCCTGAAAATGTTTATACCAAAATGTTTAAAATGACTAATTATATACCGAAAATGGTTAATTATACACCGAATCATATGGCAAAATAAGGGAATATTTGCTGCGAATTACAATTAAAATAAAATATGGCTATAACATTTAATTTGAATTAATAATTTGCTATTTCATACAATTTTCCTATATGGTCTAACTTAAAACACAAAATCTTACAACTTCAATCACAAATACTTTAAGTTAGTTCTGAAGCAACTAACCTTAGCATATCTATATATGACCACGTGTGACATAGCTACTTTTTAGTTGTGTTGATTATTATATTTGCTCTATTGGTAATTTGAAAAGAGTTTACCATCCAAATAACTCTCTCTTATATCAGAAGATATAGGTAATTAGGTACTATTAGTTTCATTATTAACTCCATCATATCAGCTCGCCTTGTATTCCTCCTACAATTATTTTACACCAAGGTAACTTTAAACGTAAAAGGACTTATTGTCATTTTCTTGAAATGTCACGCAGGTGGTAGGTCCAATCACACTGCCAAGGAGTGGGCAAATTTTAGGAATACAACGGTAAGTAGAAAAATGCAGTGAACTAATAATGTACTAGCAAACAAGATGTAGTTGGGATAGGGTAGATGCTTAATTAGCTAAGTTACTTCTCTAGAAAAATTTGAGAAAGTGACTGAACCGTACCAGATCACCCACCTACAACCTGTTATGGACACTGAATATGACACACTCTGACTTTGTACAATGCATCTTCATCAAATCAAAGAACCCTCGTGAATTCATTTCATCTCTAAATCTCTTATTCATCAAAGGAATATAATGTAGGCCTGGTCAAAATCGAATTGAAAATAAGTTATAAGGTTAATGATAATGGGTAATTGGTTTCACCAAAAGTTTTGATTTTTTTAATTATCGGGTTATTGTTTTGAAGTTTTTTTTTAATGGGTTAATCGATAGTAAATTAGATAATCATATTTTTACCATTTGGAATATAAAGTCCTTGACTTAGAGTTTGGTTTCATACTTTTTTTTGTTGACGCTCTCAAACACTCAGTTATTATATATGTGTCAACTCATGTTCATGATTCATTTGGTTTGTCACCTTGTTTCTAAGTGAATTTCAATGTTTTTTTTATGTCAAATCTTAACTGTTAGACCGATAACTGAATTGATAAAAATTGATGACCGATAAATCAATATCTTAATGGTTTTATAATAATTTGACATGCCTACAAATCCAAATCGATAAAACGAATCGATAAATTTCAAAACCAAATCAAATCGAACAATTGATGCTCAGTCATAAAAGTTACAAGTGAGTCCACCAGCAGATTTAGAATGTTGTTAATGTGCGTTTATCACACAAGTTTTTTTTTTTTAATTATATCCAATCGAATATATTAAATCAAATTTATGTGATAAGAAAATAGGAGACAATATTGAACTATTTTAGGATCAGCCAGCTCATGCATATCATCGTATCTGCTGACTTCAAGCAGATCCTTACTATTATATGAACAAGCACAGGCGTAGATATGTATGTCCAAGTAAATAATTAGAACATTTTTCGGCAGAAAATTATATTACGTATATATATATATATTCAAATTTTAAACTTGAAATCTCAGATTTGAACCTCTATATCCATATTTAGTCGGATTCTAAAACAGATAAAAGTTCCGGAAAAAAAACTCCAATGCTCACGTTAGCCAATATCTGTGTACGTGGCATATTAGTTAGTCCAAATCGTTGATTTCCCATGTGGTATAAGGCTATCTGATGTGTGATTGACCAATTGGAACCTTCCACGTGTGCATAAGGCTATTGTCTTCACGTGTAAGTGGCAATAATAGGAAGTGTTGAATGTAATGAGAAAATGAAGTGATATATTTGAAGCAGACAAATCTAACACTAACTGAGCATTTACTTGTGAATTTTGACATTTGTAAGAATGATGGAAGTATGTGGATGGACCACTTCCTTAAGTGGGCCGACTTTGTTCAATTCTGCCCCCAACATTGAGGCCCACTCAGTTTATAGGCCCACAAGGAAGACTCCAAAGCTAAGAATAAGAATTCTCTTACAAATAATTACTCCATCGGTTTAATTTGTTTGATCTGTTTTGATTTAACATGAAAATCAATAAAGTAGGAAGATTGGTCTTAAATTAAAAATGGAAGTATTGAAAACACTCTTATATTTGATGCAAATTATTAATTTCATCTCCGAATTATTGACCGCCTTAAGAACACTCATTTACTTGACTAACTGAACTTAAATACACAAATAATTTTTCAACATGACTGAAATACACCCCTAAATTCTCACCAAGTTTAGGGGTGCTTCAACCGTTCCTTTAGGGTTTTATTAAGAGTCTCATGCTCATACAAGAATTTGAGACCACTTGCTATATCATGTGGCAAATCGGGGGTGTATCTAAGTTTAGTTAATCAAGTAGAGGTGTTTTCTAAATTAAATATATATCATAATTGTGTGGTCTTAAACATGTCATATGAGAAGTTGAAATTAAAGAGTTATTAAAAAGAAAAAATATATTTTATTTTTAAAACAAACTAAAAAATAGAATAAAAAAATAAAATAAAATGAAATACATAGAATACTATACTCTTATCTAGCATGTTATGTACTGGGAAAAAAAATCTAGCATGTTATGAATATTACTTTCCAATAATGATTTGGTTCTTCTTCAAAAGGAAACGTGATTTTTAATTTCCTACTTCTATTACAAAATGATAGAATATAGTTATTAATTTTTTAGAATAATATTCCTTTGAAATGAAGAAGAGACGAATGAAATAATACTTGCGTAGTAGATTTGTGGTCCTTTGAAACAAATGTGTCCTTTTCTCGTCTTTAAGGATTGTAGTTTTATTTTCCTTTGACCCAATCTAGCTTATTTATGGTAGAGTTTTATCAATCTTTTATTTCCAATTTTTGAAAATAATTTCTCCTACTCCTTAAAACCTCTCAAAAATTTGACCAAACCAACAACTCTATTATATATAATATAATATAATATAATTCGTTGTTACATGTACATTGTGTTTTATGGCTATGGCCTATGATTGAGCTTATCCTATAAAATGTGCAACTCATGTGAAAGTATTTGCTGTATTTTGATTTAGTTGGAAAGTGTATTTGCATCAGTGAAATGATACTCACGTGATTTCCTTATTTGGATTTTCAATACCTTCGCAAAAAGATGAGAAAATAAAGAAGAAGATAATTATGACTATAGGCTTTTTTTTTTTTGGGTTTTCCGCCCGGTATTCGGAGCCCACATTGAAACTTTGACTAAATTCGGATCGCGCTCTGTAGGGCCCATTCGGGAGTGACGCTCCATGTTATATTCGTGAGGTTGTCATACATATAAAAATATTAGAAATTAACTTATAGATATGTATATTACAATAAATATAATTACTTACCTTTTACAATGGAAAATATCTTATTCATAGATTTTAGTTTAAATTTGAAATTTAACATGGGATGAAGACAATGTTATTCCATATGCTCTCTTTCACTTTTATATGGCCTAGTTATTATTTGAAGAGTCAAAAGGAGACCACAATTTGTTGAAATCCATCTTAAATATTTAGAATGGTTAACTATTGTAAGTTGTGACTTACATAATATTTTTATGTAATTTTTGAATATGTTATTTTATTTTTTAAAATTTAAAAAGTATATATTTTAATTCACATAAAAAATTAAGTTGTACTAAATTTAAATGGGACAGAGGAGTAAACTTTAGCTTCTTCTATATATAAGCATGTTTCCCAACCAACATATTGCAGCTTAAGTCAGAACATCTCCTTCAGCAACAACTAGGCAATTCTTATACATCTCTGCTTCATTTTTCATCCTCTGCAGCTAGTTTTTCACTTATCAGATTCTGTGCACTTGGCCAAGCTTAATGTTGTCCAATTCATACCGTTTTGCCCCTTTCAGTAGCAAAGCTAATCCTTTAATTTCAATTCAGCAGCAAGTTGATATCGGCGCATCGTCAGCCATGAATTTTCAGGAATTTGGAGCTGCATTTGATCCAATCGATATCCTTTCTAGCTGGAATATCTCTCAGCGTCAAGAAGCTGCGACGAGATTGGCTGCAGACTCTGTCGCTGCTAAATCAGGAGCAGGTTCAATTGGGGATTGTACTAATAGTAAAATTGGTTCATCTTCTTCTTTTCCTCCGCGGAACAATTATTTGCCTTACTTGGGTAATAATCAAGTTCCTATTTGTGGCTTAATGGCGGATGTTAGTTCAATTGGCCTATTCTCAAAAAACAGATCCCCTGATTGCTTGCTTTCTGCAACCAATACAAGCAACACCAACACATCGGGCGAATTAGATGATGTGATTTTCTCTGATGATTCTGAAAGCTTGTGGAATATCCACACTAACAATGCAGTTTCATCCGGAGAATCTGCAATTGATGCCTACAAATCAAAACCCATTGATGCCAATGACAACAATAATATTCACTACTCTGTTAATGAGCTTGATGAAACAGTCTCGTGTAACAATTTTATAACATCTTCAGAAGGAAATCGTTACAATATGGACAAGAGAAGCCACAATGCTCTGCTCGAATCAGGTGAGAACACTCTTGGCACACTTTTAATTGCTTAAATAAATAGTACATTAATTTCTCTTACACTATACTAGTCAGGAGAGTAAAACAAAATCATTTTTTTTTTAATAAATATTTTGAATTAATTATTAACTATGGTGACTTATTATATTATTTTCTTATATATAAAATTTTATTGAGTCTTTGTCTGAATACAGACTAAAAATTAAGTAGTTTGACATTTGTACAAGAAAAGTCGCCCGATAGGCCCCTCACGTGTCGGTTTACTAATTTTGGATGACAGTGAGATTCGAGTGTAAAACCTCTAACCAACTCTGATACCATATTGAATCGTTAAAAGTTCTAATTTGTTATGAGATTTGAGTGCAAGACTCATTTAAAATTTAAATATTTATGAAGAATATAATACACTTTCAAATACTTAAGTATATCATGTCACAACAGATTCCTCGAACAGAGACTACGTATTCCAGCTCATTTCGGAAAATGATCAACCTAAGTCCAAGAAATCCAGATCAGAATACAAGCTTCCAAGTTCATCGAACATCAATTTCCAGCAAGCTAGTTCTTCGGCTTGTTCAATAGTTGATCCTGATTCAGAAGCAATTGCACAAATGAAGGAAATGATTTATCGCGCAGCAGCATTCAGGCCAGTGAGCTCTGTCAGGGAAGATGTGATGGCAGAGAAGCCGAAGAGGAAGAACGTAAGAATATCAATGGATCCACAAACAGCTACAGCGAGACGAAGGAGGGAAAAGATAAGCGAAAGAATAAGGATATTGCAGAAGCTGGTACCAGGAGGAAGCAATATGGACACTGCATCCATGCTTGATGAGGCTGCAAACTATCTCAAGTTCTTAAGGACACAAGTGAATGCCTTGGGAGCATTTGGCTTTAATATAGACCCAAGTATCATTAACAATAACTTTACTACTTCTTTATCTTCAATACCATTAATCAACTACCCATTTCCCTTGCAACCACATTTTCCTATGCAAAACCTCAATCCAATCCATCACCCTAAGTGTTGATTTACGATCCCGGAAAGAGTTTAATTAATGTAAAAATAAAAACATATTATCAGGTCAAATATACATGTTACAACAGGTAACATGATTTATTATCAAGATCATAAATCTCATATTTTAAGGAGGTTTACTTGTAGATATCTTTGCATGACCTGATAGTGTATCATGTTTTAATGTTTTTACTACATTATATATTTAGTTTCGTGTGTGTATTTTGGACTTTATTCAATTTGAAGCTGTCGGCTAGCAAACCAATGCAAAGAAATATTCCTCTAAATACTTGTGAATTCGAATCACAGTATCACACTTGCTCTAAACTAGTTTAAATACACAAAATTATCATTCCTAATAATTTTTTTTATTTTCCCATCCGGTGTCAGGTACCCACATTAGAGTCCAACTAAATTCAAATCGCGTACTGTATGACCCATTTCAAAGATTATTAGTAGCATCAAGCATGTTTCATGCAAAATTAGAAGAAAAAAAAATGAAACAAGAAGTGAACAAATTGTGTTGACATAGGATGTGATGGTAAAGGAAAAAAGATGTTGGACTTTGACAACACAAAGCTCTTTTCGGGGATGGTGGAGGAAGTTGCTTTGATAATTGGATAGAAGAGGTTATTGATTTTTTTGGCTAAAAGTAGGAAATTCTGTTAAGAAATAAAGAAGCATCTGTATTCTTGGCTTATTGCTCTGCCAACTTGCTCTTTATTTCTTCTTCTTTTTTCAAGTGGACGGTATCTAGTAAGTGATTTAGTGTGTGTGAAAAAATCAAAATCAACATATACGTGTAATGAGACTTTATCAGAGTAGTTGGTTGTTAAGTAGTTAAAAGGTGGTTAGAATGATTAAGGGTAGTATAGTCTTTTCTATTAAAAGTTGTTATAACTAATTCTTCCAATAGTTAGTTACATAAACAACTATAAATACATGTTCATGCTATTGTACAAGTTAGCCTTTTGAGCTCATAAATGGAATTCTTCTCTCTTCTCTTCTAGTAGCTTCTGTAAATCGTGTCTACGTTCATGGTATCAGAGTCATACACAGTGATGAGCTGTGATAGGCGTTTTAGGTTGAAGAATCAGAGAATTGCTTTGTCGATTCACAGATTCGAATCAGAGAGTTGCTTTATCAATTCACAGATTCATCAGATTCTCAGTTGATCTGCAGATTGGGGTTCACGTCTGTTATTAACTGAGTTTTGATTCTTATTCCGCAACAAGTTTGATTGCTATGTCTCCAGATCGAGTAGCTGAAGAACTAAATCAAGGTATCAACAATGGAGAAATTGTTGGTTCTGGTTCCTTCGCTTTGTCTTCTAATACAGTCTCATCATCTCAAGGTATTGGTTACAATCATCCTCTGTTTCTTAGTCCTACTGATGTGAGTGGTGTTAGCCTTATCTCTTTTCAGTTACTTGGAATTGAGAATTATACATTGTGGAATCGATCTATTACACTAGCTCTATTGGGAAGAAATAAGATAGGATTGGTGGATGGATCCTGTAGGAAGGAAGTTTATGGTGAAGAACTGTGGGGGCAATGGGAGAGGGTAAATGCCATTGTATTGTCTTGGTTAATGAACTCAGTCTCTAAGAGTCTTCTTAGTGGTGTTGCTTTTGCTTCGAGTGCTTTGCAAGTTTGGAATGACTTGAAAGAGAGGTTTGATAGAGTAGATGGCTCTAGAACATATAGTCTTCACAAAGACATTGTAACATTGCAACAAGGTACTAATTCAGTTTCTGAGTATTATACAAGACTTAAAACTTTGTGGGATGAGTCTGAACTTTTAGTGCCTGCACCTTGTTGCAACTGTGATAAATCGAAAGGATTTGTGGCTCACATGAATAGGCAGAAGTTGTATCAGTTTTTGATGGGGTTAAATGAGTCCTTTCAACAGGCCAGAAGTCAGATTCTGATGCTAAATCCTTTACCTACTATTAATCATGCTTATGCTATGATAGTAATTTAAACTCAATTGGTAAATTTAAGCATGAAAACCATTTTAAATTAATTGAGGAATAAGAGTTTTGACTAACCTTTTTGAGAAAATGACTAAGTAAGTATTTATAATAATAATTTACACTATTAGATTAACTTTGAGAAAGTAGTTAAACAAAGAGCGATTTTATTTTTTAAGAAAAAATGGGACCTTAATTGAAATATTTGAATTAGAGACAAGTAATAAGAATTTTAACGAAACTAAATTAGTTGGTTTTTATTGGAGTCATTTTTTGATTTATGAAAAAACTGTTTTAAACTAATAAAAAAAAAAGTTTTGACTAAAGATTATAAATGAAAATACAAGAGTTGATAAAATAAATTTCGTTAGAAACAAAACAACTTAGATAAATAGTTCGTCTTTTGGGGGATTCAACTAAGTTAATTAAAAATTCTAAAGTTAGAGTTGAACAACAAATAATACGTAATCACAATCAAATAATTAAAGAGTAAGGGAGAAATTGAATTTGGGCCTTTCTTGGGCCAAATTCGCTACTTTTTTGGGGGTTTAAACAAACCCGTTTTTGGTATACAGCTCATGTATATCAGTGTATATCGGTCATTTTTTAGCCCTTTTTCCTGTATATCAACCCATGTACTGACTGTACACAGTTCACTTTGACGCCTCCAACCTGTATCACGGACATCAAATGTATATGGGCTGTATGGTGGCTGGTATATTAGTGTATACTGCTGTATACAGCCCATTTTTAACACCCAGTCCTCCATACACCTGTAATTCTGCTCCCTTATGACATAGATTCCCTCTCCAAATTCCATATGCTTCCAATGGTGAGGTTGACTCGATAAAGAGGAGTGTTGGGTTTCAAACCAAACTCAAGATACAAGCGACAAAGGGGAGTCCAATAGACTCAAGCCAAGGGAGTTCATGCAATAAAAATATAGATGGGATGAAATTAGTTAAAAAGGATAATAGACTAGTACATAAGTTAGACGTATTTGTAAAAGAAAATCACACTATGCCATAGTTATAATAAAACAATGATGCCGAATCAACTAAAATACATGCAAAATTCCCACTTTAATTCACCACCTTTTAGAACAAAAACAATGATAAAACAACTCGATCAGGCAACATATATACAAACAAACTTTAACACTTGCATAGAGGTATGTGTAAAGGAATGGATGGGGACTTAAGCATCAAAACATACTACTGAAAAAGTAACAAAACAAATATCTCTAATGTGGTTTAGGGGAGTGAAACAGTGAGGAAATAATAATTTTGCTTTAGTTGGGAACATGACTCCAACGTAACATATTGGAAAGCAAATTTGAGATAACAGTGCTCACATTAGAAATCTTCTTTCCGAATATAAAATAATTAAGTTAATGGGATCGGATTAAACACAAAAATAAAAAAAATAAAAAGATAAATCTTTGCACATGAAGGTATATAAATAGATGCTATGAAACGGGTGACTAAAAACCAAGACAAGAACTCAAACTTCAACATAATAACAGACACAACAAATAAACTCAAAACAATAGCAACTTCTATACAAGAAAATCACAAATAACATACAAATACCAATCCTTTAAATGCCAAAATAGAGACAAAATTGATCCCATGAAGATTCACATAAAAATAAAACGGAATCAAACTTTATAAAAAAAAAAATCGAATTTTTCAACAGGAAGTAAAACAGAGTAATCTGCCAATAATATCAAATTGATCAGTACATTGAAAATATACAATGAGTTCAATAAAACGATGAAATTTTACCTTTTTCGGAGCAGCGTTTCGGGACAGCGAGAAGAGCGATTCCACCACTGTGAGCTTAATCCGGACAAGCAGAGAATCGATACACAAGAAAATTAGCTATTTATTTTTCGTCCTTTCAATGTATGAAACCTCTCTATTTTTTTTTTAATATGGTGAAAATCTTTTTTTTTTCCCCTCCTTATAGTGAAAAGAGCAGGGGTATATATAGGGGAGATTCGAATTGAAAAAAGAAGAAGTGGAAAATGGGTTGAAAAGATGGATAAGAATGAAATTTGAAATTCAAAATCTTGAAGAGATAAGAAAAAATAAAATATGTCAATTGTACCCATTGTCAACGGAAAAGAAAGGAGAGGTGAAGAAAAGGACACAACTTGCTGGGTTCGAGGTCCGGGTTTGCCGGGATTTTCTGCTGGATTTCCGCAATTTTGTTGGGTTTTGGACGCTCCTTGCTGGTCCTGCGTAGGGAAGAAGAAGAAGAAACGAAGTGGGGTCGTTTGGTGTATGTTTTTTTATATTTGGTATTGTTGGTGGGTATTAAAGTGTATGTTGTTGGGTTGATGATTGTATTGTATTGTTGTATTGGGCCTGGGATGTTGAGGTACTGGGCTGGATCAAATGGAAACAAAAGTGGGGCTGGAATTTGGTGTTGAAATTGGGTTGAAGAAATAGGCCCAAGTTTAGTCTATCACAAATGGGTTAGGGTGGGTAGAAGGGTTGGCTATGTTTGTAAATAAAATGCTAGGCCAAATAGATTGCAATTATGGCCGATGGGATTTAAGATTTTAGCCAAATTGAGCTTAATTGGTGATTCGGCTAAAACTAAATAAGACGAATTAATATAAATTAATTAACGAGCTTCTTACCCTTAACGAAATAAAATAATTAACTTAATTATAAACTAATCGATTTGATTAACTCAAAATTCTAACTATAATTTAGACTAAACTTAATTATAAAATATTTGACTAAAAATGCAAAATCTTTTTGAAACGATTTTCGAATATTCATAAAGCGTACATAATTATATAAAAATATAGTTATTATCTAAAAGTTGTAAAAAGTGACAAAACTAGTCAAAATAACTTGAAAAATATTTTGATTTTTATAAAGTCAATTATTTCAATTCGTTTGGAATTTTAAGAAGTTCAAAAATTAATTTATATCGGGGAGGGTCAAAATTGGGTGTCAACATACATTGTGGAATTGATCTATTACACTAGCTCTATTGGGAAGAAATAAGATAGGATTGGTGGATGGATCCTGTAGGAAGGAGTTTATGGTGAAGAACTGTGGGGGCAATGAGAGAGGGTAAATGCCATTGTATTGTCTTGGTTAATGAACTCAGTCTCT